TCTTCAAATATGACTATCATTGTTTGTGCCGAAAATATCAAGTAGAATTATAAGACCTTATTCATTGTTCCTACTATTGTTCATTTTTTTAATTTTAAACTAAAGTGAGAAATAATATAAATAGCCCAAACTTTAAAGCCGTGTGAGATAAATACCCCAAAATTGTATATGCAATATATATACCCTGAACTTTATATGACAATTTATTTTCGCACCATTATTATAGTTTTTTTTTACAAAAATAGATCTATTGCAATTTGCAATAAGTACATAATTTAAAATACTCTAGATTTGTTTGGATGCAATTAACATTCTAAAATTTCATTTGTGAAATCAATAATATTACATTAGGTACAATATAATTTTAATTTCATCCTCATAAGTGCTTTGTGTATTTTAACTGATGTATTTAACACCGTAAAATTACATTTGTGAAAAAAGCATATGATCATGGTGCTAATATGACTTTTTTTTATAAAGATTGAGGTATATTTAATATATAATATATTACATCTGCAAGTTTGGGGTACTTATCTCACACCTTCAAAGTTTGGGATATTTGAGTTATTTTAACCTAAACTAAATGACTACTATTTTGTGGGCACAAAAAGAAGGATACTCCTATTTGTACACATTACTCATACCTCATTCATATTTGAGGTAACATTTTTATCTCAATATAACAATGCAAGCTGCAGCTTAATAAAAAGTTGTGCACTACATGCATACTCTTTAAACTTACACAAATGCAACTATTCGAGCTGTCCACATTATTGGTCTCTTCAAACTTTCCTAATAAAATTATTTATTCCATGACATAGGTCGAGCTTAATAAAAAAGGAGAATACCTACTAAAAGATGAGCATCCGAACATAACATATTGGAACTAAATACTATGGGGGTTTGGGAGGAAAACCTAAACCCTTAAGCCTAGATATATTACAAGTGTAGAAGATGAGATCATCAACCTACAAAGGCGATTCTGGCTAACTGGCATGACAATTAAGGTAAGAAAGCGATGGTTGAGATCCAAATGCATGGCGGGGAAGTTGAAGAATAAATAATGTGATATATATGGTGAAAATTCCTTACACTTTCAAGCTTCTGCCGGGATCTCCCAGGAGTAGTGCCATAGGACCTTCCAGGTGTACCTTGATGGCTATTGCTATTATTATAAGACCTTCCAGGTGTTGTAGCACGACTGCTTTCATGTGAACTCCTTCTTTCTCGAGACTTCTCCTGATGTAGTTGTGGGTGGTAGGGCGATTTTTCAAAGCTGCCTGCACTTTGTTTAGCAGGATGTGATTCACTGCGTCTCTGGCCCACAGTGTTGCCACTTCGTGCTGGAGAGCTAGATTGATGATTCAAGTAGTCGCCTTCATCTTTACTCAACCGACGCTTATCTGTGGTAGGTGGTTCCTCATATTGAAGAGCTATGGGTTTAGCTGTAACAGGGTTGGGTGCAACATCAGAAGGAAGAGCTTTACTAGGAAACATATCTGGATTTTCTTGGGGATCATTTGGATTTGTAATCTTTCCTCCTCTTTTTTTACTTGCCTTTTCAAAATATATTGTGTAGGGCACATCTTCTTCGCTATCCCAGTTCCCAAATGTCGGGACATTTGAACCCTGATTATTAGGTGGAACAGTAAGGCCCCTTTATGAATCATCAATTATCACAAAATATTCCACTCCTCCAAGCTATACAATTCTATTAATAATAACACGTAATATCACAGGCTATCAAGCAATAGAAACTAGAAACAACAACAAAATTATCATCTTAATTTCAGAAGACAAAATCTAAAAGAAGCACCCAAATAATAAAACAGCACAACCAACCAGTACAAAGGAACTTTGAATTCAGGAAAAAAATTATGTAACAGCAGTTACAACACAAGAAAGTAGTCATAAAAAGTATATGAATCTTAACAACAATGCGCCAGAACATAAATCAGGATTACTAAATAAGCTGTTGACCATTCATTTAGTATACTCTCAAAATGGTGGCTCATTAGAACTGATCATCCTTGAAATCCGCTGTTATTTTTAAGTCTTAATCGTATCGAATTGCTCAATTTCTGATACCATATTAAGATTTGAGTTTTCATCCTAAAATTTAACACATAAGAATCTTAGTCTTCAAACTCCATTGATATCACATCGTTTTTATAAGCCAGTAGCCTTCAATCTCAACTACATATGTAACCCGAAGTAAATAACATACAGAATTACATGTATAGAAGTATTGAACCTAAAGCTTGAATACTCAAAAACTCATTAAAGGATTGGTTCAATCATTTGCATCCAGGCTCTAAGCATACTCAGGCACTCGCAAATGTATGTATGTGTGTAATCAACATGATCAAACAAGGGAATCGTCAATCGTGACAGTCAATTCAACTCAACTACATCAAGATTTAAACTCCAGGAATTCACAAAATCAAAATGAAGCTTGGGAATAACGCAACCCCCAATTAGTTTGAGCATAAGAAAGGGGAACTTACAGCCATGCTTCTTCACCAAGCTCTCGAATCACAAGCGCAGAGACGGGAGAGGAAACGTTCGAGAGAAGTGATACGAAAGAGAGGGAGAGAGAAAGTTGTTTGATTAGAGAGAGAGACCGACAGAGCGAAGAGGGTAATCTCAACCATTGAACAGCGCCACCGGTAATGTTTGACTATTCCACTCTCCTTTCCTCTCCATATTCATTCAAGTCTCCGGTCTTCCCTCCGTATTCCACCGCACCTTTAATGCCTCTTACTTCATGCAGTGGGCTGGCTAGTTACCACTGTCAAATGAATCAATCGACGACGACAAGCTAGCTTTTGAACAAGAAATTATTCGTTTACTTTGTGGTAGAAAATGTTTAGGATTTTTTTTAGTTAGACCAAAATTTTCTAATCTAGTGGGATTTATGTTTGTTCAACTAGTTTAATGAATGTCTGGACAAAGTTCAAGTAAAAACATTTTTATTTGCTGCTATTTTGAAAGATTTTGATCAATTTATTCTTTTATTAGGAATTTAGGACTAAGAAAAAATGTCAATCCTATTTTATTTTATACATAAAAAGTGTAGTGTTTTTCAATAATTTATTTAAGTGACATTTTGATTAAATTTCATGAACATATAATCTATATAGAATAGGATAATACTAATGAGCACTCCAGTCTGCTGGGTGGTTACCTTGCCTAGCGTTTGGTTCCGGGTTCGAAACCCCCTAGGCATTTAGCGGAGAGGATGGATGTCTTGCTCCTAATAATTCTTCCTACTTTCATGGAGTTGCTCAGCGGCTAAGAAGAGAGAGAATACGAGCATAAGCCCCGACACCTATATTATCAAAAAAAAAAATAGGATAATACTACCCCTTTCTATCCTATGGATGTAGCCTTCAATCCCATCACTAGGAAAGCTTAGTTTATAGCCTTCAATCCCATCACTAGGAAAGCTTAGTTGTAATCGAGGGTAAGGTTAAAAAAAAGTATACCCAAGAGTACATTCTGGATTACATCCGGGGTACACCCTTTATCACCCCTCCTCTCCATTTTTTTTACTTTCCTTCATCCCCACGTTTTTCTCTCCCCTTCCTCTCCTCTTCCATCATACGAAAATCCCTCCTTTCCCTCTTTTTCTTTTTTCTTCTTTATTTCTTTCTTTTCATCATCATCGTCATCGTCATCATCATCCTCATCATCATCATCATCATCATCATCATCATCATCATCATCATCATCATCATCATCATCATCATCATCATCATCATCATCATCATCATCATCATCATCATCATCATCATCATCATCATCATCATCATCATCATCTTCTTCTTCTTCTTCTTCTTCTTCTTCTTCTTCTTCTTCTTCTTTATATTTCATTGTGTCTTTTTCTTCCTTTTGACGTTTTACTCACCATCACCTTGCATCACCATCTTCACCAAAAAATTGTTGTTCGAGAATGACCGAAAATTTGCCGAAAACTCATTGGAAAATTAGAGCTTGAATGTTTGTTTGTATGGTGCTAAATAATGGTAAATATTGTGTGTAATGAAATACTCCGTATGAAACAAAAAACTAGTAACATGCTCTAAACTTGCACAATTGACAAAAAATGTACTAGACACTGGTTTTCTTTCAGTGTCTTGCACACAGTCAAAATGTTAAAAAAAGTCAGGGTTAGATTGCACCGAAACAAATGTATGTGTACACAAACAAAACTTGCACCCATACACACACTTTTTTGTCTACACTGACAACTAACAACTAATGTATGTGTACATCGACATTGATTTTCGTGTAACCACCCTGACAAATCTGCAATAAGGTACACCAATCAGTGTGATTTACACGCTGCCCAATTTTTGTTCACACAAACAATTTTGTTCGAAATGTCGATATTTATACTTTTTTGTCTGTGTGAACGACAAATTGTAAAAATATTTCATGGCTTTTCCATAGACCTGGAATCGGGCCGGGCGGCCCGGCCCGGAACCGGCCCGGCCCGGTTACTGTGAGGCCCGGCCCGGCCCGGAGCCCGGTGGGCCCACCGGTTCGGTTCGGCCCGGCCCGGCTGCTGGGCGGTTCGGGCTCGGGCCGAGGTTTTGGCGAACCGGCCCGGCCGGTTCGGGCCCGGTTCGGTCCGATTTTTAATTTTTTTTTTTTTGAATTTTTTTTAAGTTTTGGGTTGGATTAGGTATTTTGGGCCATTTGAGGTGGTTTGGGGTAGTTTGGGGTTGAGGGGGAGGGGTTGGGGGTTAAATAGAAGAGCCAAAAAAAAAAAAAATATTTCCGGTTAGGCCCGGCCCGGAACCGGAACCGGAACCGCCCACCGGCGGTTCGGGCCCGGGCCCAACTATCCTGGCCCGAGGCCCGGCCGGGCCCAGGCCCGAACCGGGCCCGAACCGGCCCGAGTCCAGGTCTACTTTTCCACTGCTGAACTCTTACTTCGAGATGTGGTACGAGTGATTCGGATGTTGCTTTTCCCACCCTTTTAATATACTCCGTACAAATTAGTGATGACATTATCAATTACTCTTTTTCTAAGTTGCTCTCCCATTCTCTAAAAAAATTACTCTCCCATATTCAATTATTCTGTATTTATATCCAAATTGGTTGATGTTAATGGCTCACGAACACTTCACTAAAGTGCACCTTTAGTTTACAGCCAACTAACCATTTTACATTATGTAAAGCAATGTTCACCAGAAATCACTACAAGAGCAAACTCCATCTCTAAAGTGATGAAACCTCTTCACATCCCGCACAATGATCTCTCGTTTTACAATCATGGAGATGAACTTTGTTGCTTCGTGGCAATCGCCACACACTCTAAGGTTCTTCGTGACCATGACTTTTGTCCCTGGAACCGTGTTTAAGAGCGCGAAAGCAATGGCGAGTCTCTCGCTATGGTTGCACAACATAGTCACTTTTACCTCCTCCTCTTCAATGTTTTGCAACACATACTCCGTCTTGGGTGAGTATCCCATTTTTACCATCTCATCCTCCAACTTCCTCAACATCCCCGCTATTTCCTTGTATTGGGGATGACTAGTGTCTTCAGTGACAAAAGCATGAAGTTTGCCATTTACTTCCACTACACTGTGCCCAGGAACTTTTTTCATTCCTGTGGCTTTCATCAACTTCCTTACCACGGCCACCTCTTCCCACTTCTTTCCAGAAGCAAAAAAGTTTGAGACAAGCATGTAAATGCCAAGACTCTTTGGTTTCAACTCTAGCACCTTCTTTGCTGCCATTTCCCCAATCGAGAATTTCTTGTGGGTGTGGCAGCCAGACAGTAGGGCGACCCAAACAGCAATTCCGGGTTCATCTTCCATGGAACCAATCAAATTTTGGGCTTCCACCACTAGTCCAGCCCGAGCTAATAAATCAACCAAACAAGCATAATGCTTCTCAGTAGGACGAATCTTGTACTTCTTGACCATTGAGTCAAACCAAAACCGCCCTTCGTCCACTAATCCTGAATGACTCAAAGCAGACAAAAGGGCAGCGAAAGTTGCATCGTCGGGCTCCACATTGTCTTTCATCATATAGAAAATGGATAGGGCTTCTCTTCCGAGACCGTGGATCCCGTAGCCCGTTATGATAGTGTTCCAACATATCACGTCCTTCTTAAAATTTATACCATCATAAACACTACGTGCCCACGTGATTAGCCCACATTTTGCATACATGTCAATCAAAGAGGTCCCTAGGATTTTATTCGCCTCAGACCTTCTCACGACATAGGCATGGATCGATTTACCCTTCTTCAAGAACCCTACGTGGGAACACGCCAGAAGTGAGCTAACTAGTGATGTCACGTCGGGTGAGAATCCCACATGTTGCATTTCTATGAAGAGTAGGAGCGCATCTTCAGCAAGTCCATTTTGAGCATACCCTGAGATTAAAGCACTCCAAGAAACCGAGCTCCTGCAAGGGAGTTTTTCAAACACTCGAGTAGCCATCTTTAGATCTCCATTCTTGGCATACATGTCTAACAGGCAAGTCTGCACTAGCACATTTATAGGAAGATTTTTCCTGATCATATAACCATGGATAGAACAACCCCGGTTTATATCACCGATATTCGCACAAGCACGGATCAAACCCAACATCACAACCTCGTCTCCTTCCCAACCATCCTCTCTCATCCTCAGGTAGACTTCCAGCGCTTCTCTTTCCCTTCCATTCTGTGTAAGGGCAGTGATCATTGTCGTCCAGCAAACGATGTCTTTCCTTCCCATTTTCTCAAAGACTATGTATGCTGCATCTATCTTACCACATTTTGAGTAGAAGTTTAAAACGGATGACACCACAAACACGTCATTCCCGTATCCGGACTCGACGGCTTCCCGAAATACCTTTTCGCCGAGTTCTAAGTCCGACAGCGTCGCACATGCCTTAAGTGCGGCCGTGAAAGTTGAGCTGTCGGGGTTTGAACCGCTGGAGATCATCTCTTTGTACAGAGTTAAGGCATCTTGAGGTAACCCCTTCCGGGAATAGGAGATAATCATTGCGTTCCAAGCACCGATGCCTCTGTTGGGCATTTCATCGAACACTTTCCGGGCGAGGTCAATGTTGCCGGCTTCAGCGTACGATGAGATTAACTGAGGATTTAAAATTCCGTGGTCTGAAAGCCCGGAGGATATGAGATGTTTGTGGATTTTGGAAACGGACAATCTATCTTTACATGTCAACAAAAGCGACTTGAGCTGTTTTGGTGAACATTTTGGTGAATGCATTAATAGATAATAGTTATAAATACTACGTATAATTCTATGACTAGATAATAATCTATTAATTGAAGAGTTTATTGATGTTAGACTATCTCTAGTGGTGGAGTTTTAAGAGTCTAAAATGTCTAAAATGGAATTTTAGACTCCTAAATCTATACATCGGTGGTTGGAAAGAGGTTATATGGGGGCTTATAAATGGAAAGGTGGAGGGAGAGAGTCTACATATAGCCGATTTGATCCACTCTGGCTAAAACAAAAGCGGAGCAAAGTAGGGTGAAGATTGTATCAAAAGTGTGGGTCCTCAAACAAAAACAAAAAATCACCTATTCTTTTAAAGTGTTATAACTTTTTTATTTGGTCTCCAAATTTTTCAAAAACTATATCAAAATTCATGAATTTTTAGGAGCTTTCATATGACACCAATATTACATATATAAAGTGAAAAAAGAATTTCAGGTTTTAACTGTTGCAGTTTTCTTGAGCACAAAAAAACACGAAAACACAAATTTTTAATTCATGAAGCGTGCATAAATAACTGAATATTACATCATCTCATTTTATAGAAGCGGGAAAACGTTACAAAAAAACTAACGAGGATGCTTAAATGGAATTCGATTTTAATGACAATACTCATAAAATTTTCACTCATGATTTAATTGAACGTTTAGAAGAGAATTTGATAATAATCGAACATTACTTAAACTAAGTTCATTTTTTGTTACCGAAAAACGTTTAAAAAAATTAATGAAATTTATATTTTTTTTTACATCGAAATGTGTATTTTTTATTTTATAATTATTTTGAGAAAAAAATTAAAAGAAAATATTACTTATAATACTTTAATTAATGATCTACTAATTTGATATGTAAAAAATATGTCAAGTGTATTTTATTAACGGTACTGGAATGCAAAGAAAATCATTATTGACGGAGTCTAAACACTGTTTTCATATCGACGGAGTCCATATTTTAGCTTTTTAGACTCTTACCACTCCAAATGGTCTTAGAACTGAGAAAGTTAGAGATGGCTCATAAAGCTGGGGAAAGGCACTACTATACTCCGTATTACTTTTATTTTTCCATTAAATAATTCAACTACAATATTTTTATTAGTTTTGTAGACAAAAAATAGGGTATCTTATATGTACCGTAAAATCTATCTATAAAAATATGACTAATAGTTACTACCTCCGACCTAGGTAAAAATTCTCCATCAATGTTCTCCGGTCAACATAAATTGTTCTTAATATATTACTTTTATCATGTTTGAGCTTTTTTGCGACTTTATAAGACTGTTAATGTAATTTTCGAATATATAAATTTTATTTACTAAAAATAATTTTATTATTTTCAAGTGTCAATTAACTTTATAATCAGTCAAACATCGTAAATTGCATGAGAACCTTAGCTTTACCCTGGATAGAGGTTCCTACCTGCATTTCAGAAGAATGGGAGTTACAGTTTCAGCCGGAGAAAGTAGTCAATTTCAGAAGGGTTAGTACATTGGAAGCAACTGACCACTTTTGAGGATTCTTGGGAAGACTTGATCAAGCTTCAGGAGTTTCCATAATTCCACCTCGAGGACAACTGACAAGTGATAGTTCAAGAGGACCATAATGATAGGATAAGGGGTGTGAAGTATTTTAATAAGGTGTAGGTAATATAAGGAGGGGAAAAAGGGGCGGGAGTTAATAAAATTGTTAGATGGGTGCTGAAAGTTATAAATAGGGGTGGGAAGGCTAAAGTGAGAAACTTCCCCCCTTTTTTTTATACGTAGTATTTCATTTTCTGAACTTCTTCCTCTGTAAACTTTACGGGAATTACTCTCAAAATTCCTTGGGATTCCTTGTCATAAAAAAAAGGGAAAGAGGGGCAAATAAGCCTTCGAACTAACCAAAAAAGTTCAAATTACCCCTTATATAAGAGTTTTTGTTCGACCGTCACCATTTGGGGCGGTTCCCGGTGAAATTTTTTGATGAAATTTTTTAAACATCTTCTTCATTAAGTCTAATGTACCCATTCCAAATTTCAACTAAAAATAAAATCGGGAAGGCAGTCAAATGATTTTCTGAAATATACTGCGATGTTTAACTGCACAGTTATCTTCAAATATTCATTTGACTGCCTTCCCGATTGAATTTTTATCTGAAATTTGGTATGGAAAAACTAGATTTAATGAAGAAGATGCTTAAAAATTTTCATCGAAACATTCCACCGAGAACCTCCCCAAATGACGACGGACGGACATAGCCTCCTATAAAAGGGGTGATTTGCACTTTTTGGTTAGTTCGAGGGCTTATTTGCCCCTTTTCCTTAAAAAATCACTTTAACTGTTTACCAATCACACTCTCAATAATAAACTCTCACTCCCGTTTTCCTATGTTCAGTCTATTGTTTAATGGAAAAGTGACAGCACAACGCGCAAGATGTGCTGGTGCTGGTTTGAACGATAATCACTCTGAAAGCGGAGCTCCGGTGAACAATAGTTCACAACGCGGTGCATCTGCTTTGGTGACCGTGCCGAGCAACTCTGTGGAAAAACCCGAAAAATTTAACGGGTTGAACTTCAAGAGGTGGCAGCAAAAGATGCTCTTTTACCTCACTACTCTCGGCTTGGCAAGGTTCTTGACCGAGGACGCTCCGGTTGTAACCGGGGGTGAGGTGGATGCACAGTCTTTCAATGCGGTTGAAGCATGGAAGCATTCTGACTTCCTTTGCCGAAACTATGTGTTGAACGGGCTGCACGATGCTTTGTACGATGTGTATAGCAAATTAGCTACGGCTAAGGAGCTATGGAATGCTTTGGACCACAAATATAAAAGTGAGGATGCCGGCGCAAAGAAATTTGTTGTCGGTCGATTCCTTGATTTTAAAATGGTGGATTCGAAGACGCTCTAGATGTGCTAAGTATTTATATACTTGGTTATTTTGGCATAAAGTATATCGAATAAAAACCTCTTCTCACCCTCACACTATGTAGGGGTAGGGGGTTTTTAGGAGATCTAGTTTATGTGATGTATATTTTCCTGGGTGTTAATATATTTTTACATTTCATCCAAAAAAAAGAGGAGATGCAAATGATCTTCAACGAAATTCGAGATGAAGGAATGACAGTTAGTGAGTCGTTCCAAGTGGCGTCTATTATTCATTTATTGCCGCCGGCTTGGAAGGATTTCAAGAACTACCTTAAGCATAAGCGAAAGGAAATGAACTTGGAACAATTGATCCTCCGTCTGCGGATTGAAGAGGATAACCGGAAGAACGATGGGAAACTCCCAATTGTTCACGGTGCCAAGGCCAACGTGGTGGAGCATGCAAAAGGCTCCAAAAATAAAGGCAATGGGAAGAGCAAGCTCGGTCCCAAAGGAGGCGTTTCCAAACCCAAGTTTAATGGAAAATGCTTCAATTGCAACAAGAACGGACACAAGTCCTCGGATTGCAAGGCACCAAGGAAGAAGAAAGACTCTCAAGTCAACATGGTGCAAGGTGGGCAAAAGGATGAAGACATCATTCTTGCGGCCGTGGTGACCGAGGTCAACCTCGTTGGATCCAATTCCAAGGAGTGGTTCGTGGACACCGGTGCAACCCGGCATATTTGCTCTAACCGGGAGCTATTCACGACCTTTGAGCCATCAAACGGTGAGAAGGTGTGGATGGGAAATTCTGCTCACTCCGAGGTGGAAGGCGTGGGCAAGGTGGTCCTGAAGATGACTTCGGGCAAGGAGCTGACTCTCAACAATGTGTTGTATGTCCCGGAGATACGCAAAAACCTGATCTCGGGCTCTTTGTTGAACAAGCATGGCTTCCGCATGGTCTTTGAGTCGGACAAACTAGTTTTGTCTAAATCGGGAATGTATGTGGGAAAAGGGTATGCAGTTGATGGGCTGTTTAATCTCAATGTAATGACTATTATTAATAATAATAATAAAATCTCTTCTGCTTACTTGCTTGAGTCTTCCAATGTGTGGCATGGTAGACTAGGACATGTTAATTTTAATTCTATACGTAGATTAATTAACATGAAACACATTCCTAAATTCACAATTGATGTGAAGCACAAATGTGATGTTTGTGTCGAGGCAAAACTAACGAAAACGTCTTTCAAATCGGTTGAAAGAAAAACGGAACCACTAGAATTTATTCATAGTGACATTTGTGATTTTACAAACACGTGGCGGTAATAAATATTTTATTACTTTTATCGATGATAGCACTCGCTATAGCTATGTTTATTTATTAAAAAATAAACACGAAGCAATCGATAAATTTATTCTTTATAAGAATGAAGTGGAAAACCAACTTAATCGACGGATTAAAACGGTTCGGAGTGATCGAGGTGGCGAGTATGAAGCACCAATTGGTGACTTTTGCGCTAGTGTGGGTATAGTACATGAACGTACCGCACCCTATTCACCTCAATCAAACGGTGTTGCCGAACGAAAGAATTGCACATTGAAAGATATGATGAATGCGATGCTAGTAAGTTCGGGCCTGCCACAAAATATGTGGGGCGAAGCGATCTTAACAAGCAATTACCTTTTAAATAAGGTTCCCCGGAAAAAATATGATAAAACTTCGTACGAGTTGTGGAAAGGTAGACGACCTTCCTATCAATATTTGAAAGTGTGGGGGTGTCTTGCTAAGGTGCTTGTACCGACACCAAAGAAAATAAAAATAGGTCCAAAAATGGTGGATTGTATTTTTATTGGATATGCACAAAATAGTAGTGCTTATCGGTTTTTAGTGTACGATTCGAATAATCCGGATGTACATAAAAATACAATAATTGAGTCAAGGAATGCATCATTCTTTGAAGACGTATTTCCATGCAAGTCTAACGAAGGACCTAGCACGTCAAAACGAACATTTGACGTAGCTATGGAAAATACTAGCGAGGGATCCGGTGAAGAAACTGAACCCCGACGTAGCAAACGTGCTAGAGTTGAAAAATCCTTCGGACCGGATTTTCTCACATACTTGGTAGAATTCGATTCGAATATTCTAACTTGTATGATAGAAAATGAACCGGATTTTCTAACATGTTTGGTAGAAAATGAGCCACGGACTTATACGGAAGCCGTAACGTCTACCGAAGGACCAATGTGGAAAGAAGCCATCAAAAGTGAGGTGGACTCTATCCTAAAAAATCACACATGGGAAGTAAACCTTTGGGATCCAAGTGGATTTTTAAACGTAAAATGAAACCTGACGGTTCCATTGATAAGTATAAGGCCA